CAGAGGTAACGCTGCAGGGGGCTCTCCCCTCCAGCATCCCCCCTGCCCTCCCCGGCGCTCCGGGCCGGGATGGAGCCGTTCCTTCGGCCGCGGTTTGAGTGAGGAAAGAGCTTAAAATCCTATAAGGGAAGCGCTCGCAGAGCCGTAAGGAAAGGCTGTCAGTGAGAGCCTGCTGGGGATTTGTGTGTTGTTGGTTTTTCCCCGCACCCGCGGAGGGTTGTGTAACCCAGTACGTTGTAAATGAGAAGCGAAGTGAGGTGGCTGTGGTTGTTAAATAATGTGTGAGTAATGATTGGCACGGGCTGTCGGGTTGCTGAGGAGTAGTATAGTGTGGGAAATATTCCTCTGGTGATGCCTCAATGTCCCTCCTGCCCTGGGCTCTCCCTGAGCTGATGCCCAATGTCCCTGCTGCCCTGGGTTGTCCCTGAGCTGATGCCCAATGTCCCCCCTGCCCTGGACCCTCTCTGAGCTGATGCCCCAATGTCCCTCCTGCCCTGGGCCCTCTCTGAGCTGATGCCCCAATGTCCCTGCTGCCCTGGGCTCTCCCTGCCTTGTCTCAGTTGTGCACAGGTTGGTTAATTCCAGGAACGTGAATTTAGCCAGACACTTGCTTAAAATCAATAGCAAACTGCTCTCCCCCACCCTGTGACCTCAGCAGAGGTTATTGTGGGAGGAGGGATTGGCTTGAAAAGGCTCCACTAGTTTTTATTTAAATATTATTTTAAATGGTTGTGTTTTTCTGTAGAATTCTGTTCTACAGAATTGAAACTGTAGAGGGATACACTGGATTTAATTTTATTTTTTTTCCTGGCTGTGAGTGGCAGGTAATATTTATATTTGCAGTAGAAAATGGAACCTTCTGGTCTCTTTCTTCCCCAGCTGCCTGCAGGGAGCCTGCAGCTCACTCTCTACCAGTACAAAACATGTCCTTTCTGCAGCAAAGTCAGAGCTTTTCTTGATTATCATGGACTACCCTATGAAATTGTGGAAGTGAACCCAATAATGAGGAAAGAGATCAAATTCTCTTCCTACAGAAAGGTGCCCATCCTGCTAGCCAATGCTGGGAGCCCTCTGGTAAGTCTCCTATGTTGAAAGCTTGATTTCCCTCCAAGCAGTGGTTTGGAAGCTTTGTCTCTGTTATGTTAGTACTAACTTGGAGCCTCAGCATGCAGGGGAAAAAGGTTTGGAACTATTTCCTTTTCAATTTCACCAGCTTCTTTTAAAAGTTTGTTTTAATTCTGTTTTTCAGCAACTGAATGACTCCTCAGTGATCATCAGTGCAATAAAGACCTATCTTATTTCCAGGTAAGAAAACAGAGGGATGAGAGAAGAGCTGAATGTGGAGGGCCCTGGGGAACTAGAGATTTAGGGGACTGAGCTGTGTCTTGCTGACCTGGGGCTCTGAAGCTCAGGGTGTTTGGCCCAGCTGACCTGAGCCTGGCTGTGATAATGTGCATGGTACCTGTGTGTGCAGTAAAGCAAAGCTTTTACCTTTCAGAAGCACTTTTTCACTTTTGAGATTCTCTTTGCACCACATGGACTAGTATTAGTCTTGGAACTGATCTTACAAATTAGCCAGTTATAGCACTTAGACTGAAATGGAATTGCTGTGCCTGTGGCCTGTCCTTTAGGTCCACTTGAGAATGACAGGAAGTTTTATGCCTGCAGAAATTTTTGTTCTGCCACAGGCAAAGGTATGTACACTAATAATAGTTATTTCCAAGTAGCTGTTCCAGTCTCTTTTCAGAACTTATTTCAGGTAGAATCTGAGACCTAGTGCATTTATTTTTAGAGTAAGCCATTTTGAAGTGTGTATCTCTCAATCTGTCCTTTGTCATTTTTTGTAGCAGCCAGATCAGTGCTAACTGTATTTCTGTCCACAGGAGGAACAGCTTGGAAGAGATTGTGTCCTTTTATCCTCCTGTTAAAACTGTGAATGATAAAGGCAAGGAGGTGTTTGAGTATGAGAATAAATACTGGCTGATGCTGGATGAGAAGGAGACAAAGAGAGTCTATCCTGTCAAAGAAGTCAGAGTGTAAGTGCTCTTCAGTTTCTGGGCTCTCCAAGTAAGGTCACAGCCCCTCCATGTGTTCTCAGGGATGATGTAGATGTAAAATCCCACTAGTGTTTACAAGCCCTGTCACACCCCCATTAGTGTTTAAAGCCTCACTAGCTGGAGTGATTTTCTGTGTTAGATAATTTGAAACAATGCTGTTAGCCTAGTTAGCACCACCATGGTCACATTTGCCTTCAGCTGTTCAGTTTCCTTCTTGGCCTTTCCTTTATGCCATGGGAGAATGCTGTGGAGTGCTAGTTTCCTTTTCTGTTTGATTTCTCATATTGGGAGGAGAAGCTTGTGCTTTATGTTAGTCTTAATTCTGAGATTGGAGGAGCCTTGCCAAAGATAATGATGCTGAGTGCATTTCAGAGAGATCACCAGAGCACCAGGCTGGGCAGGAGTTCTTGACACATTTGTCCTTGGCAGGATCTCTGGCTAGTGCCACTGTGATCTTGCCTCCTGTAGCCCTGCAGTCTGTATCTCACTCACTGAAAACTTTCTGTTGCCTGCTTGCAGGGAAGAGATGAAGTGGAGAAAATGGGCAGATGATTGGCTTGTTCACCTCATCTCCCCCAATGTTTACCGTACCCCCAGAGAAGCTTTGGCATCTTTTGATTACATTGTCCGTGAGGGGAAGTTTGGCACCATGGAAGGTCTCTTTGCCAAGTACATGGGTGCTGTGGCCATGTTCTTCGTTAGCAAGATGCTGAAGAAAAGGTTGGTATCACCCAGCAGTAAGTGCACAAGAGGAGGAATAGCTCCTTGACCTTAGCTGTGAACCTCAGGTGTCAAAGGGCAGAACCTCAAGTTTTAAACTGAACCATTTAGTCTATGTGAGTAACAGCTGTACTTCTTTAACTGAGGGCACTGAACCCCTCTACTACAGCTGCCTCCTTCACACTGAAATGTCTTCCTAACTCCCAACCAAAGACTAGAAATGATAAAAGGTTAAAGAATGAAACAAACTTGTGTTTTCAGACTTGTTCTTCTCTTTATCCAGACACAACCTTCGAGAGGATGTCCGAGAAGACTTGTACGAAGCAGTTAATGAGTGGGTAAAAGCTGTTGGCAAACACAGACTGTTCATGGGTGGGAACCAGCCAAACCTTGCTGACCTGGTAAGGGCTTCATCCCTGCAGTTATTGTCAGGTGTATCACAAATCATCCTGGTTAGTACAAATAGAGACAAGATGAGTTACACAAGGCACATTGTCCATGTGCAGTAGTAATACAGTTCACACAAGGATGGGATTTGCTTTAAGTAGGCCTGGATTTGTTGTTTTCCTCCAGAGAAATGTTTCCTAAGATGGAACCTGTAGCTCCCAACTGTGGGTGGATGCTCCTGGTCAGGTGGAAGCACAATAACAGCAGGTCACAGTCCAGAACACTGCTGTGGCTTGTGAATGCTCGGGAATAAACCTCACACCTGCACAGGCTCTTAGTGCACCCAGTGCTGTGTCTCCTCTGCAGGCAGCAGTGCAGAGTGGAGGATTCCTCCTCTGCACCAGCATTTCTCTTTGGAATGCAAGTGAAGCATTTCACACCAAGGCTTGATACAAAGATGAGATTAACTTTTGCCCCGTAACTGCACATGGATCGTGATTTTTCCTTACTTTCATGAAGAAACATGTTCTTAACTACTTTTCTGTCATTCACTCTTCCTTGCTAAGCAGAGTGGTGGAGTAGATGGCAGGACCAGGAAAGAGGCACTTGTATTCTAAGCCATTCTCCACTGCTCTTTCAGTGTTGTTCTAACCTTTCTGCTCTCTCCCAGGCAGTGTACGGGGTCCTCCGGGTCATGGAAGGGCTGGAAGCCTTCGATGACATGATGGTTCACACCAAGATTCAGCCTTGGTACCAGCGCATGGAAGAAGTCATTCAAAAAACTGGAGCTGCAGTGTGATGCCAGCTGCAGCTGCCTCCCTGAATACTTGCATGGTGAAAAACTTCAGAAGAAATGGCTTTTAATTTTAGAGTTGAGAGGACTGGTCACACCTAACGGACTGACATGCGGGCACAGACACCACCCCGTTCAGAACATCAAGTCGTGGTGAGAGAAGGGACCAGCTGGGTAGGCAGGTAAAAGGAGGGGATCTTGGATGCTGCTGGAAAGGAGAAGCTCTGAACTGAAGAATGCAGCAAATAGGCTTGTTTTAGGTGAGAGCCCCCTTAGGAGCAGGTCTTGGTTAGTGTTACAGCTGCGTCAGGTTTGAGCAGCTGTTGGTTCAGGCTGTCTTCCACTACTCATCCATGTCATCTGGAGTGTTTTCCTCACTGAGACACTGGATATTAGTTTTTAAGTGACAATTTTTCCTGCAATAGAGTGCTGCGAGCCCAGTGCTGAGGGGAACTGGAGGAACCCACAGTACTGGGAAAGGTACCTTTCCTCTGACAGCGGCGATGCACTTGGCAGGCTCTAGGCTTTCACTCTTCCATGCAAACGGTTCTCTCAGGACTTGATTCTGTACGGTCTGCAAGGATAAAGGTTGGCTTTATTCTGTGTGCCCTTTGTGAGAGCTGAGTTCTTACCTGGGCCAGCTCCTGCAGGAGCTGCTGGGGGTCCTGGGGATGGTGGGGGGGCAGCTGGGAGACTGCTGTGCTGTAACTGGGGTTCCCAAGGGTCATGGGTGGCCGTGGTCAGCCCCTCGGGGTTCCCAAGG